GCATTTGTTGATACTTTGAATGTCTGTATCTTAAGAACTTGACCTCGCATGGCGGAGGAATAATAATAATTATTGACTATGGCTTACGTGCTCATATTATTTATGATGTATGACGCGTATTACGTAATGATTTTGGGCCTTTAAAATCTTCTAAATTTCTGTCGTCTTCATTATGCAGAAGTTTCTAGCGATATGAAATATGTAATTTGCATATTACACCGGTTAACAATCCTGTCAAAATAGATAAAATCTCCCAAGCTTTCTAGCGATATGAAATATGTAATTTTCATATTAAACCTGTCAAATACCGTGGAAATATAGATACAATCTCTTGAGTTTGAAACATATTGTTGTTTTTGATCAAATTATGCGTATTAAATTAGAGGGATCGAAACCTGAATAGTTACAAACAGATAGCTTGTTTTCTCACTGGCTGAAATAATGATCTTGCCACATTATTGTATTTATTAGCCCACTCGAATTAAAAGGACAAATTATAAGTTAGAAATAATGTTATCAAATACATCGTATACTCATAAAAATTCTCCCTCAACAGCAATCTGTAAATTGCATCAATCTCATTTCCCCGCTGTTTTCCAGTTTTTTTTATATTAAATAAATCACCAGGTGAGAGAGGGGCGGGTGTAAATGTATATATTGTGAATATATCACTATCTCAACCATTTGAACATACATCTCAAACGGTACGGAACATTCATTTTGCAATATTAAATTGTCGAGGAGTGATCTGGTATGTATGATTAATTAGATATATTTTGTAATATCACAACAATGTTCAATCAAATTACTATTAAGAGCATAAAATATAAAATTAAAATGGTTACTTAGTCTACCAACCTTTGGGAGTTTAACAAAGGTTGGTAATATTTATTTATCTTATTGTAACTATTGACACTCTTCAACTGTAAACAAGTCTGACAGTAGACAAGTTCTTGTTGTTGTTGAGCTCTACTTGCAGGATGCAGGAAAAGAAATACTTGTCTATATCAACTATAATTTATAAATTAAATTTGCCTGAGCATAAACGAGTCCTTTTCTATACCCCTACAGTTTCTTAATCTATCAGTGTCTCCTTTCCTGCCTAGGGCAGGGATATGTTTTCTTTATGTCAATTTCTAATTACTAACCAAAACCACCACGCAGATGTTAAAGCCATTTTTTTAAAAAAACATAATGAGGCACACATGATGATGAACGTTCATCACTTACATCGAAAATAACGAACACTCTTGTCTTGGAGGGTGACTTGAGTAAGGTTTACCCAGAAAGGGTGGTGGATTTGGGGAATTTTTTAAGGGTGAAATTGAATAAATATTGAACTAATAAACTAATAACGAAGTACACAATAAGATTTAACGACTCTAAGTCAACATTTACAAATGACCAACATAATTAGAACTATACCACATAGCACGAAGAGGTCGTCTATGACCTTTGTTGTTGACATTTTGCAGCACTTTGTTGAGAATATGTTCAGGTTCCCAACGCTACTCTTCCCAACAAATATTTGGATTAGCCAAACGTAAACGTTCCACATGGACCTTTTAGTATTGCCTGTTAAATAGTGTTTTATTCTAAAATTGACCGATGAGAACTGTTCTATTATTCTGTAATACGGTTTCAAATGCGTTGTTAATTTTCGAGAAGAAGTAGGGTCGCCTACTTCGAATTATTTTTGGTTACATTTTGTATTGAAGTATTCCCTATTTTTGCGTGGACTTTCTTCTAAGTAAGCTAGCAGGGGTAGTAGGAACATAATCTTCTCCGAAATATTTTAGTTTAGGACATAAAAGGGTATCATCGGTAAGCACGTCTCTCCCGAGATTGAGAAAAAATGGAGAGTATCTAGAGCTATCGTGGATCGATGATCTGTGTGCCATTCACGAAGGTGAACGTCCCAGTCACGCTGATCATCACGAATTAAGTTTGCCAAACTATTATTTAAAAAAACCGTGAATATTTTCAGTGTTGCAATTTTATGCCGGATGATAACTACTAGTTTTGATATGGGTGATATTCAATTGTCTTGTAAAGTGCTTTAACACATTTGATTTCGGGGAAGGGAGGGTTCCCTAGGTGGAGGGTGGGGCAGACACTTTATTTAGAAATTAGGATTAAGGGTCTTCATATTGGGTTTTCTTCTGTTCTGATTCTGATCTGAAATCAGAAAAAATTCGACCCATGAACTTAAAATGATCCACAATAGATAGAATATTTCTATTGCTATCAGACTCTGGTAATGGGCCAACGTCCATGAATTTGTTAAACGGGTTGTCCATTGAAGTATTGTATGTTTTTTTTTCTTTTTTCATTCATTCATTATACTGTCCCCATGGGCTGAATGTTATTATTAAAGATGGTTTTCCTTTTTTCTAAGCGTCAAATTAAGCAGACTATTTGATAAATTGGTGTTTCTAATGAATTATCATGTATTCTTAACCATTCTTATTGCATATAATTAAGAGTTTTAACCAATCATAAATGTCCATGTATGTACTGTCTGGATAAACGAAAAGAGACTTTTTGAACATTCTTGATCGGGTACTCATTAGAATTCTGCTGGTAATTCTCTTCTAATTTAGCTAATTATGAATTAATTATGGACATGTCAGACAAACTAGTATTTTTCTATTTTTTACTTTCTATTCATATAAGTATTAGCAGTTTCATTTTCATCAATGAAAATAAGGGAACCCATCTTTAAGGATATAAAAGAAATTTTGTCGTATGTGAAGGTAACGTGACAAAGCTATAATCGCGAATTTCAAATGGCTGTAGAACCGGAAGTTACGTTGCATACAAAAATGGAGACATCTATGGATAGATCTCGTCTGAGGCAACAACTTTTGTGCTGGTAACATGGTCACCAAAGGTCAAGGTCAAGTTATATAAGCCTTGCAAGTTTTGTTCAATATTGAAACCGCAAATAACTGAAAAGCAAAAACAAAATTGAAAAAACGGCTCCCACACTATTGTTAACAATCGTTTGCTGATGGTATAGACAGGAAAATAATGTAAATCCGATTAACCCCCGATCCTAAAATATGCTTAATTTCAAGATGGCGGATGATCCGATACTTGCGGGACGAATTTTATCATTCCAAACCTTTTAATTAAACAATTCTAATATACAGCAAAAATAAATTTTCAAATATTTATAAAATTCCGGGAGTTGAAATTTCAGTATTACAAGCGAAAAACTGGAAGTGATATAATCATAATGTGTATCTACTTGTAATTTTTCAGATCGATTGAAAAGTTGAAAAGAAACGGTAAAATTAAAACAAAAAAGTGCTATTTTTTAATCATTAGTTTAAGATAATGAATAAAACGAAAATTACGGTAAAAATAGATTGAGTACTTCGAAATACGCATTGGATGGTTAATGTTCCACGTCATTTCCGGTTGGGCGAAAATGCATCGTTTTACATCCATCCACTAACGGCACGCTAAATATGAGAGATGATCATGTCAGATGATGTGAGATATGTGTAGTTTAGGCCGTGAGTTCTGACCAAAATTCGATAAAAAAAAATAGTTATTGGCAAAACAAACCATTTTTATCCCCTATATCTCGAAGACGTTTTTTATTAAAATGGAATAACTTACCCCACGTCAGAAATTGGAGAAACTGTTGTGTAACAAAAAATAATTTCCATCGGATGGGTAGGTGAATAGCTTTCGGGTTTTTTTTGCATGAATGCTTTGTGCTCCTATTTAGCTATCACCATGAATATATTGTGTATCATTTCAGTTTTAACTATTAATATGTTTGCTTCATTTCAGTAATTACCATGAATGTGTTGATTATTGCCTTCATACTTCCGTTCATATCGGCGTACACTGTAAATTTAAACAGGACGTCTACTTTATTTATACCTACATATGATGCAAATGGAAATCCAGAGTTTAAATATAACGAATTTGGTTTCACACAAATAACATATGACGATAAAGATATGATTGTTTACTTATCAGGTTTGAGTCTAATCATATCTCATCCCTACCTCCTTACGATGTCTTTCCATATCATCACTTCTCAATTCGCCACTAAATATTCCCGTTTCGACCTCTCTCTGTTTCGCTCTTTACCATATCGCCCCCATGCTATTTTGCTTCTTTTTTTATATCGACCCCTTCCCGATTTGCCCTTCCTTATTCGCCCCTAACCCATTTCGGCACTTCCCACTTCACACCTAATCGCTTCGTCCCTTTCTTTTTTTAAATTTCAAAATTGGATAGGAAAGAAATGAAAAAGGCAAAATGAGTAAGGGGCGAATCGGAAATGGGATGGGGCACACTGGGAACAGATTGGGAGTGAATGTGGGATGGAGTGATAAGCCATTTCTCAAGGCTTAGATTACCTTCAACGGCGATTCCCTATTGTGACTATTGTAGGTTTTTTTCAATATCATAAATTTTCCTAGATGACAAACATTAGGCCTATATAGGAATACTGTTTTAAAACATATATTGGTATAATATAACATATGATAATAAATATATATATAAAAACGTATTTCAGGCGATTATGTGATGTATGTAGTTGATGCATCAAATGTAAATGATATGATTATCAAAGATCATGTAATATACTCTAAGAAATTAACCGACATCGAGTACTGTGGTGGTTATATTTTCGCTTCCCTGTTTGACATAGATAGTGGCGACGGAACTGTTTATGTTCTCAAGAAATACGAATTTGGTTGTTCAGATTCACTGGATGTCATCCATAAAATCCAAGGTACGGCATTTTACATTTCTATCTCAAAACATTTTTACTTTATTCTTTTAACTTCAAATCAATTCTGTTAAAATCAAGCCTCGATAAATAGAACACCTTTTATGTTGATACTGTCTTAAGTATACCTCGCCGGAAGTCATAAATGGCACAATGACAACCTTACCAAAAGTCATAAATTGTATAATGACAAAAGTCAATAATTACATAATTTCAACTTCATCAGATAAATTGTATTATTTTAGTTGGAAATATGCCACTTATGATCAAACCAACAAAAGATTGTAAAACAATTGTTGTAGCTAATGAAGCACGAGCTTTTGGATCTACTAATTCATTTCAAAATCCACTTGGAAGTGTTGGTATTATAAGATTTACTAATGGTGTTGAAAATAATTATGAATATACAGAGCTTAATTTTACGAAATTCAACGACAAGTAAGATTTGAAAACAGTTTCATAATAGAAACATAATTGTTAATTGTTTAATTTTTTGTCACAGTAGCAAAATTAACTTGCTTATTTGAATTGCTTTTATTTGCTAATTTGCAAAATGATTTGAAACTGATGTGAATATAAAACTAAGACCCTACTCGTTTACAACCAACCTGAAACAGGATTCTAAATCCGTGCCACTCGTTTACAACGGTTTGCCCTGAATCCTAATCCGAATTTTGAATCCGTGAATCCGCCTCCTAGGGCAGATTCGTCGGATTCAAGATGGCGTCATTCATAGGGCACTTATAATTTTAAATAAGTCTTGCTTTTCGAATCTTTTTCACTTGTTTGAACAACCTCTATTTATATTTCTAGACAAACAGATTTAGAAAAGGAAGGAGTAAGATTTGTTTTCAGAGAAAATACATTTGATCGTGATATAGAACCTGAATCCATCACTTTCAATTGTGATGAAACTATAGCTTATGTTGCACTGCAGGTATGGTTTTCTCTACTTTTTCATTAGTGCAGTAAGATCGGTGGGTGTAAAATTCCGAACTCCACGAATTGGTTCAGAAAAGACCTACAAATCGAGAATAAGTTGCGCCAAAGGCTGTCTACAAATTTGTGATTGACAACGAAAGAATATTGTAAAACAACTTTTGCAATGACAATAATCATCATGTACATTAATTTTAGTACTCTTATTCATACTAACACTAACAATCAATTGATAAGATTTTATTATTAAATCAGAATAATTATTTGTTTGTGGTTAGTGACAAAATAGCTCACCATGCCCATGAATTTAAGAACAATATTGTTTCTTGATAATATCAGAAGTTCCAGCCTGGGTCAATCAGGCAGTATCCCCCATCCCAAACACAGCTTGGAAATTTTGTAGCTTGCAGCCAGTCAGATCATTTACTACAAGCTTCGAGTTAGACCGTAAGGTTTCACTGATGATCATGTAAGTCCGCTTAGCTGAATGTTAGGGAGAAAATGCTTAAGCCTATTCATTCTTTGCGACCAATTGGGGTTGTTGTATTGGAACAATCATGTTGAATAGTAACATTTGTGTCAAAGAATCTATTCAAAGCAAATTACCAACATTTTATGCAGGCTCCAAATCACATTCCCTTAGACTGCCTTAGAGATCAGACTTCGAGAATCTGTATACACGGCTTGTTGCCCCTCTTCTAAATGTCCAGGTTCACCAGTTGTTGAATAATAGAAACATAATTGTTAATTGTTTAATTTTTTGTCACAGTAGCAAAATTAACTTGCTTATTTGAATTGCTTTTATTTGCTAATTTGCAAAATGATTTGAAACTGATGTGAATATAAAACTAAGACCCTACTCGTTTACAACCAACCTGAAACAGGATTCTAAATCCGTGCCACTCGTTTACAACGGTTTGCCCTGAATCCTAATCCGAATTTTGAATCCGTGAATCCGCCTCCTAGGGCAGATTCGTCGGATTCAAGATGGCGTCATTCATAGAAAAATGATGTGAATATAAAATTTTGTAGCTTGCAGCCAGTCAGATCATTTACTACAAGCTTCGAGTTAGACCGTAAGGTTTCACTGATGATCATGTAAGTCCGCTTAGCTGAATGTTAGGGAGAAAATGCTTAAGCCTATTCATTCTTTGCGACCAATTGGGGTTGTTATATTGGAACAATCATGTTGAATAGTAACATTTGTGTCAAAGAATCTATTCAAAGCAAATTACCAACATTTTATGCAGGCTCCAAATCACATTCCCTTAGACTGCCTTAGAGATCAGACTTCGAGAATCTGTATATACGGCTTGTTGCCCTCTTCTAAATGTCCAGGTTCACCAGTTGTTGTTTTGTGCTGTCGTGTTCAGAATGTACAGATTCCCCCCTGCTCAATCCCATCAAATTAGATTTGGATATCGATGACACCGTTCAGTTTGTTCTCACTGACAATTATGATTAATTGTTTCTTTAGCATTTGTAACCATTCTTTTTGTTTTTTTTTGTACCATTTCATTTTACTTTAAAACTTATACCTTATACCTTAAAACTTATATATAATCTTAGAGACACAGTATTAACATTTTTATATTTCAAACCACATTGCAAATGTTTTATGAAACTTTCTGTGTTTTTATTCTTCATATAATTTGTGTTTACATTTTCATATTTCTTTCCTCATCCATGTAACTTTGTAAATGTATAAATGTTTTATGTTATTTTCTGTATTTTTATTCTTTATGTAATCTTGTATATAATTTTTAGTTTTGTGGGACCTAGACTAAATTAGTCTGAATGGGTTGGCAAAATCAAGTTATTATTATTTTATAACCTAACCATACAGCCAAAGCAATAAAAACTAATCACTGAATTCTCAAATCCTTTGTTCTGTTTTAAGATGGTGTGTATGACACATATTAATGAACCTGTAAATGGTTTGAATTGATTATTTAAATATATGATTCATGCGCAATATCAAATTTCCGACTTGGTATGTGCTGGACCACAGCAACTACGAAACGTAACACTCGTAGCTTGTGATAAAGTACCTCTATTATGTTGTAGGAAAACAATGCTATTGCTATTGTGGATGTGAGAAAATTAGAAATAGACGAAATCAAAGGATTGGGATATAAAACATGGGATAAATATACATTGGACACTAGTGACAAAGATGGAGGTAATTGTTGATTTTTTGTTATGGTTCAAACAAAATGATACCGTATTTTTCGCAGAATCTGTGGGAAGTTTAAAGTTTACATAACATTGCTCAGGGCTGAAGCTCAGTGTCATATGAATTAATAATACATTAAACAGTGTATAAATGAAATGAAATTAGCGTTTTACGTCCTACTTTTATGCACCATGTGGGCTAATGACATCGGGAAACGCTGTGTAGGGTACAATGAGGGAAATGTTGCCAGGACAGCGGAATTAGCCTGCTCCTTTTCGATTTTTAACTATCTTTATCGGCGTTATTGATCTAATGTAAATATATATATTCCAGGTATTCACATGAACAACTACGATTTTATACGATCCTTCTACTTACCGGATCGTATCAAATATCACCATTGGAATGATGAGGGTATTATCATTACGGCTGATGAAGGGGCATATAAAAGCTACTCTAATAGTTTTAATGAAAAAAGACGAGGAAATTGGTTTAATCCAGGTAAATCTTTGTCAAAACGTTATCTTATAGCGATTGAGTGAGCTAATTTGCGGACTATAATTGAAAATTTGTATACACGTTTTCATTGATTAAAGGAAAACTTAAAAATAACGCCAGTGGCAAATTAATCTGTTTATATTTTGACTGACATGGATAAACCAAGTCATTTCTGTCTATTGGGGGGCGGTATTGGGGGTATCTAAGCATCAGTTTTGCATCTTGCTAACCAGTAATCATAATCACGTTTAAGTCTCTAAGGTGCTTTTAAATTGCTTTCATATCACAAAGAGATAACCGGCATGTAAACAAACTTTTTCTTATACCCCGTCTGGAATATCTACCTTTCTTGTATCACAGAAGTTTGTAAATGCGGCGATTTCATCGAAATGTACGCAAGCGAATATAGCTTATCAGAGCAATTGACAGAAAGTATGTAAACAATAAGTCAGTATGCTCACAGTCTTTCCGTCGAGGGAACTGATTGACTGTTCAATCCAAAAAAATCGCTGTATTCGTGAAACAAGAAAGCCGGATATTGCAGTCAAGGCATAATATGAAGTTCGTACTAGCTTGACATTGTGGACATGGCATTATTTTGATTTAACTCATAGAAATTACGGGCCTTGGTCCAAAGCAAGGACTTTTCAAGTGCTGGTTAGCTAAGTAATGTTAGTTTTAACAATGATAATGAATTTGTTTGGTACCAACTTGTCCTGTGCTAAGAAAAAGTTACTTTGTACAAATGTTCTTTCACCCACTGGGCCTATATGAGAAATACTTGATATAATATATAGAAAAAATGAATATAAGGCCAAGAAACTGCATAAGAGTATTTGTTCAAACAGATTTCAGTTTGCCATGGATTTGGGTGATTATTTAAGTTCTTGTTTCGTTTATAGGCAGTCAAGCGCCTCTTGGTATACACGTTCAGAAACTTTTCTTGCAGACTTGGTAAATTGGTGTATTTTATATCATATATCTAAACAGTTTGTTGGTATTTATTAATGTGTCTTACATCGTACATCATTATGAATATATAAAAAGTAAATACCAAATATTGCAGTGGGTGTAAAATTCCAAATTCCTGAACTCTCCGATTATTGATCGTGATAATATACTTATTGATAATTTAAATCATATCATAAGCTGTCCAAAATTACTATATACATGTACGTACATTCTCAAATTTATGCACAGCCTTTGGCGGAATTTAAGTCTCGAATTTTAGGGGTTTTTTTCTGACCCAATTCAGATAATTCAGAGAGTTCCGGTGCACACAACGGAAATATTGACTGACTTATCATCAAGATTGTGATGTGAAATAATATAATAATTTGTCAGGCAAGTTAATATACGCCGACTAACAGCTTTGATATATGTTTATTATAGATAAATTGTCAGATAAAATACCACAGTCTATAAAATCAGATTTAGCCAACGACAGTAGACTAGGTAGGTCTTTTTCCTGTATATATTTATCGTATATCCATAATGTTTTATAATATCATTATAAATTCTTATAAACTGATAGACAACTTTCCATGCCATTAAAATAAAACCCTGCACACCGATGTACTAAGACATTTTTCTCCAGAGTGAATTTTATTCTGAATGTGCAATACCTTCTGATGCTTTTTACATTTTGCATTAGAAACTTCTGAAACCGTTGTGCCGGGTCGTTGAAAGACATGCTAACTGATGAACAGAGTAATCATTTTGGATACTGAAGAATTTTATTTTTATTACAGGAAGATTATTCTTTTCTAAACTTGATGGACTTGACAATACAAGAAAATATGAAAACTTATATTTCTATGGTGGACGTGGATTCACAATTCGCAAAGCTTCTGATATGTCCATATTGTTCGATAGTGGTGACACTATAGAAAGGAAAATTTCAGAACTAGCTCCAGAAATATTTAACAGTAATTATAAAGGGGGGCAATCAATCAATCAGCAAAGAGATACCCAATCAGACAATAAGGTAAACATAAAATATTTAAAAATGCCATATCACTCTTTGTTTATGTATGGATTAGAATTCTTAAAATCGACATTTCGTCATTTTCTTAAACAAATAAGACAAAATGTGAGTTGGACAATTAATATCTTCTATAACCTGCTTGTAGGGTCCTGAATGTGAAGCAGTGGAAACCGCTGAGATTGATGGCAAACTGGTAATTCTTTTGGGTTGTGAAAGGCCAGGAACAATAGTTGTATTCTCGGTTGGGGATGACTTTAAAGAAACCAAATTCGAATATCTGTACTTCAACATACCTGAATATGATAAACGTTTGAAACACTTGTATACCAAACGAAAAATATCAGAAATAAATCCCGAAAATTTCAAGTATGTTGGTTTCGAGTTCCCTCTAATGCTATTTTAATTTCTATCAACGTTTCTTCTATGTATACCAATATCGATAACACTACTGGTTTAACGGCAGTTCGTAAAGCTTTTAATAGATCAGATCCAAACAGACCCGACGATGGAATTCTACAGCTTTTAGAGATTTGTCTTAGTCGAAACGATTTCACATTTAATTGTAAAACATATTTACAAACTTCAAGGACAGCAATGGGCAAACGATTCGCCCCTTCGTACGCAAACCTTTTCATGGCAGAGTGGGAACGTGAGGTGTTGCCCCTCTGTCCATTTGACCCACTTTTTTACGGACGCTTTTTGGATGACATTTTTATGGTTTGGACTTATTCTATCGAACAGTTTTGGGCATTCCTTGAAATTCTCAACAACCACCATCCTTCTATCAAACTAACCGCAAACGTGAGTGACAAAAGCATAGACTTTCTCGATACCACTGTCTTTAAGGGAAATTCCATAGCAGAAACAAATAAACTGGATATTAAAAGTGTATTTCAAAGAAACAGATCAACTCTTGCACAAGAGCTCCTTTCACCCAAAACATACCTTTTCTGGTATAATTAAGGCATAAGTTTTACGATTTCACCGAATTTGTACAAAATCTTCTGATTTCAACCAAGCCTGTACGATTGTTTTCTCAAAACTAAAAGAGCGTGGGTACTCTAAACGATTTTTACGAAACATAAAAAATTCCACCTTAGCAAAGATAGCAGCTAAAAACAGACTTTATGCCGAAGTACCTCCAGGTTTAAGAAGTGCTCCATGTTTGTCCAGTAGATGCAAAACATGTCACTTTATATCAGAAACTCATTATTTTTGCAAGCAACTCTACGAATAAAAGGTACCCGATCCAGGAACATGTGAACATTCGAATGTAATATATTTAATTTCATGCAAGAAATGGCCCAAACAATATGTATTAGAAACTAAGAATAATTTGCGAACCCGTTTTAATGCTCATAGGTCGGACATCAAATTAAAGAAAGACAAGCCTGTTTCTAATCATTTCAACCTCGACCATTCAATAGACGATCTCACCCTAATCCCAATTGAGCGTATAGAAATTGACTTGCCCGAAGACTTGCCCATGTCTATAAGCAGAAAATGATAGTTGCATATTCAAAAAATAAGAGCTTAAATGATAATATTGTTCATAGTAAACTAAAAACAATCATTACATACTTCGCGCCCATCTTTCTCAGATTACGTTTCTAGAAAAAAAACGTGACCTGGGCCATAGATTTCGCACATCAGACTGTAGCACATAGGAGCTGAGCTGAATGTTCTCATACAAACGACCAGACGTTTTTCCGTTGAAGTCTCTTAAAACTGGGAAAACTTGAGTTGAAAATTTCGAATTTCTTCTCTCGACCTTTCTGTATAACGAGCCAGTGTCATATCACCGAGCCACCAGATATTGTCTTATATAAACATGGTATAGAATTATCTGTAATGGATTTTATCAAGTGTGAAATTTCTTTTACATAGAAAAAATTTGATTCACACATAGTATAACATGTTTTTCCATGATCACTGGCCAGTAGTGCGTTTACAAACAAAGAAATACAATATTTAATATATTGTTGGGTAGGAGAAAAAGAAAATGTTAAGATGAACTCTTGTTTAGAAGTCGCGATCACTGATAACTTAAACCAAATTCCTAAATTAAATTTTGGGTATCGATATATTTTAATTATATGTTTTTTTTTTCAGATTTGTATCAGCCAGTAAGAGTCCAAATGGACAAAATATATTATTTGTAGTGGGGAAATCTACAGGTACACTGTCCGCTATTGATGTTGACGTCGAAAAGTGGTCAAAAGAAATGCCATGATGGTAGTTATTTTCCCTTTTACTTTACTTAAATTACTGTACACAGTGAATTATTATGAAAATGAAATTTGGCAATTGGAAGAACAAAAATCAGAAAAGTTACACAGAACAGCATGATTGTATATATGGATATATAATCTATATGCATTATCAAGAATCCAAAAGTTTGTCCTTCTTCGTTGGATTTAAATTTTATTATTATACAATCAATCAGAGACATTTATATATCGTTGAAATATGCATAACTGCTCTTAAAAATGTCCAAAAAAGAAATTCAGTTCGTGAATAACAAATTTGTTTATACAAATATTTGTTCTTAATTTGACTTTGTGGAAAGAGATCGTATGATTTTGAGTGCTGGATGCCACCTTTTCTTTGAGAAATATGTACGTTCAAATCACACGTCTGTCTTTGAAACTTTTGGAAGTTGTGTAAAAGATTGATAATTTCTTTTGCAGGAGTGTTTGTAATGAAATAAGAAGGTTTATAGAAGATGACATGTTCGATTGAAGCTCACTATACTAAATTATTTCATATTTACGTTATTTTTCTGCTTGAGTGTATTATCAGCTTGAACTATTTTTTTCTGTCATATCTTAATCTGAATTTCGCTTTCTATCCTTCAATGGTAACTTAAGATGATAAGAAATACAAAAACGGTGCAGGTGGAAATCATTAACCTTTTTTCTTGTCTCTCCGAATCATAAATTATTCTTGATCAATTTGACTTAATAATTGTCGATTGCGACCCATTGTTTGGCCTCAGCTCGACCCACTAGTACTGGCGCTGTAGGAAACAGTAAGTATGCTGTGCTTTGTAGGGTCAGTATCCAATGTCTGCTTCTACATGACATAGTTAACAAGGTATGCAATAGCAACTTTTTGTATATTACGGTCAATGTCTATCTAAATTGATTGTATACCACCGAAAACAGTTAACATATCCCTCGACATAAAGACTGTTAACATTAGGGCGCATTGTTATTAGATAATTTATCAAGAGCTCTGATTGACTGTATTCGCTAGCGTACAATCAAATCGTTGCTTTAACAAACTTCCGTGTTACAAGAATGGTGACTATTGCAGTCAAGGTGTAGACCAAGTACTAGCTTGAATTTGTGAAGACATTAACTAGGAGGCTCTTTCAAGTGTGATTCTAAAGGGACAGCGCCCCAAAATAGTAGTTGGAGTAGTTTTGAAAATAATTCAGTCTATTATTAATCTGTTAATAAGTGTTGGTAACAAAATTCAATTCTGACGTATATTGTTTTCCAATAACCAGCCCCATAACAGCGAACGATTCGTTCGGAATGTCTGATCAGAAAATGTAATTGGATACAAATGACAGTTAATTCAATCAATAAAGCCGTTTTCAGGTATAAGACCCAATCATTCATGTTCAGATTATTGTATAAAGGAAAAAAAAACAGCGCTGAATGGAACTGAATAATCATAATTATGCTTTAGACGATTTCTTTTCAGGTTGTTCAATATTTATTTTTATTAGTTAATTCGCACTTTCTTTAATTTAGATTGTTATGTATTCTATTTTACTGCTTATAAAAATGCTGTGTTAGAAAAATGTTGTCATTGTTATTCCGATTACTTGCTAATTAGAGCCCCCAATTCGCGCCCTGTCATCTCTGTTTTCACCTTAGGTTAGTGGCTCATGTACTTGAAATAAGGTTAGTCAAGAACTAGTAATGAACCGGACGGTATTCTTCACAATCCGACTCAAGTATATGACAAGACCTGTTTGACACAGATCTGTCAGCTTCCGAGCAAGTTTGCGTCCTCTGCATTTATATTTCCTAAAAGGGAAAAGGGAATATACTATCAATGTTTAGAAATGTTTCCGTGGTAGAGATATCTTTGGTGGACTGGAATATATTACGAAGTATTAATATGTTTATACGACCGCGTCAATCCGTCTGACTGTTCAGATTTCTTGCAGACATGAAAGAGGCTACAGTTTGTTCCTTAATGAAACTTGGCATGCAAGTCTATATAAACGAAATCCCAGTAAAGTATTCATCGGATGAATGATTTTGAAGTACTACAATTAATAATAAGATAGCTTGCCAGGCGAGGTAATATACACCCACTGGCAGCTTTGATTTTAAATGAAAATATTTGGCAGTACAGTAACAATTATCAGTATGAAATATTCAATCTTCAGACATACACTTCTTTTGAACTTTTTGAGGCAATACCGAAAAATATTACAAAGTCTCATCAAAATCTGTCAAGAATTGATCCTAGAGCGTTCACGAGCTAAAAATTGAACGCGTTTTCAAGAACAACGGCAATAACTCATACTTATTATTTTTCGATTATTCTGATTTTCAATAGGGTTCATCCTGGGGTGATTATTAACACTCATGTCAAGTTTCATCTAAATCCGTCAAGATTTGTGCCTTCTGGAGTGTTTACAAGCTAAAATTGAAGGCGGTTTCAAGAAAGATAGCTTGCCAGGCTTACCCACTGGCAGCCTTCAGAATGTTCAAATGTTCTTAGTAACTACAATACAAATTTACTCATATATTAAAGTTATATTTAAGTTATATTTTATAAAGTTGTATGACCATTGGTAGCTTTGTTTATATTAGGACATGAATGTACACCAACCATCAATTGCTATTTTGAAACTTTCGGGTGATTTTTTCTGCCAATTGTCACCTTTTCAATTTGGAATGTCAAAAATAACATGTAGGCTAAAGTGGCAATATACTGTACAATATTCATTTTCACCAAGAACTCGAGAGTAAAACAATGTACTTATCTTGGAATTATTTGAGACATATCCATCAATATCCAATGGCTTCCTACATCTCATATAGCCACCTCATCCACACTATTCCATCAAATTTAGTTGTAAAATAAGGAATTAATTTACAATTCAATCAATAAGAAAATGGCCTCCCAACACCCCTTATAGCCATCTCGTCCACACCATTCTATCATAAGCATACACATATATGTAATGTAATATGTGTATTCATTTCACAACCTAAATGTATTTATTTGGCTGATCATTAGTTTACGAAACTTTACAATTTCTTGTCGTCTAACTTTTAAACTATGCCTTTCTAATATCAACCAGGCATTCATACAAGTACAAACACCACAATCGTATCCATTTAATTGCAACGTAGTTTCATTTTCATATATTTGTATCCAGTTTGAAGGCTGAATACTCTCCAACATAAGCAAGAAATCTCTTATCTTTCTCATACATTGATAACCGATTTTCTTGTGAACCACAGAATCATAGTATTTTATGGTCTTACTATCAACATATATAACCACTAAACTCCAATGGTGTGGTGTATGTATTGGTATCAATATCTTAGAATATGTTAACAGATTGTGATCTGTAAACATATCAACAGCAGCCTGCAGGTTGCTCTCATTTCGTAAATAACCCTAGCAAATGTATCTAGAATAGTTACATCTATTCCATTCAAATTTTCATCCCTTTCTAGGATATTCATATAAAAATTTATACTTGATCATTTAACCAGTTATTTCCAGCAAGTGTGTTGAGGTCAGTTTTTTTTAAAGAATAACCAAACCTTCGACAGCAGATCAAATCAGAAACTATTACAGCTCCATCATTTTTGTCAAATTTACAATTTTCTTTTTTTTTTGCAAATTTTCGTTCACTGCATTCAAATTTTTTTTCTAGAATAATTCTTTCTGGAATTACTCTATGGCTTTCCAATATAGGTGCATCAAAAGTCATTCTCTTTTTGGAGGCAATAATAGAGTATATCAATCTGTGATCTGAGAAATAATTTTCAATGATACTATAATTTTCTATATTCACAAGGTACATTACTAAAGAGAAAATCTATAGTAGTTCCAGCATCAGAATACACTGTTGCATACCATTTAAATTAGAATTCAATCTAATATATTCTTTACTATTCAACTGGATATTGAAATCTTCAAGTATCAAAGAATTGTCTTCAATTTTCCAACCACTTTTCACATTTCCTATAGCGGATATTAAATTTGCTACAGGGGTTTTAGGTGGCTTGTAAACACCCAAAATATTCACATTCTTTAGACAATTATTAAGTCTAACAGATAGACTTAATAAGCTCATTTCAACATCTTGCATGTTCCTAGACTGAACATCATTCACAACATTAGATTTTACATACACAGCTAAACCATGATGGTTCTTATGTAAAAGTTAGATGTAAAAGCATCAATTCTATACAAGGAAAAACCTGGTATATCATACAAATTATTAGTTTTACTCACGTCTCGGACAATATTACAACATGTGCTTTATTGACAACATGACTCAATTTCACATCTTCAATATATTTTTGTAAGGATCTGACATTATGATAAATGACTATCAAAGAGTCATCATCAGTGACATGAGAATCAAATTCTTCAATTTCTAATTTCCTTTCATTTCTTAGTGAAAGTATTTCGCCTTTCACCTCCATACTAATTTTTATCTTGTCATTAGCAAGATTTACAATATGCAAGCCTTCTAGATTTTTAACCCGACTCAACCCAACATAATGAACATGAGCCATTGTCACTCCTCTAAAATCAACAACCACTTTGTCAAAGGTATCCCCTTGATATCTATGCACAGTTTTAGCAGCTGAGGGTCTCAGGGGAATCTGAGTCCTCATCAACTCTGCATTCTTAAATCTACCAACTATCTCATCTCTATCTTCTACCCATACAATGTTACCAAGTATGTCTATTTGGTGCTTCAATGAACATTACAGTTCCATCAGCACCATTTGTCAAACCATCATCAGTTTTCACATTTATACATAATTCACACTTCATACCTATTAAGAGATTTAGGTGTTTATGTAATTGCATAGTTTTCCTTGGATCATCTGGAACATTGGCCAACAGAGCCTTTTCATCAGCCCGTGCCTCTGAACCAACAACACTATCTTTAGCTGTGATGATATATTTGTCACCACTCATCTGTTCAAAGATCTTGCTATTGAACTCATCCATCTTTTTATTACTGACAAATAGGTGCTGAGCATCTTATGGGTAGTTGCCATCATTAGACAGAACTCTTGTTTTGAAAAGTTCCAGATCTTCGATCTTTTGAGACATAGTTGTCTTCCCTCAGCCTGTTCGACATTTCTGCAAATTTTTTACTATCATTTTGTCTCATAATTTCTGTTAATTCATACATTTAGCAATTATCTTTCCACAAATTATTGGCAAGAGGTCCATACAAATTATTCAAATTTTGGAATACATAGAAATCAAAGACAGGTTTCAGTTGAAACAAATCTCCGACTGCAATACATGTACTCCTCCAAATATCAAAAGAGATCCTTTAATATCTTGTTATCTTCTGTTAATGAAATTCATCATTCTATTTCCAACCATAAATATTTCATCAATAAAAACCACTTTCAAACCTCCGAGCTGTGTTCGAATGGTATTTATTCTATTTCAATCCAAACTTTTATATTCCGTATTTTGATTGACTGGAATCTTCAAATCACTATGGATAGTATTTCATTTAATATTGAATGCCGCTTTACCAGTAGGTGCTAGCAGTAACTGTCTTATCGTCTGATAGTCATCACCAGCTTTTGATTTATAGTAGCGTAGTAAACTTTGATACAATGCTGTAGTAACAAAGCTTTTACCTACACCAGCCCCACCACTCAAAAATCTAAAAACTTGGTTTTCTGATGTCTTAATGACACGTAATGTGTCATTTAAAAATTTCATTTGCTCCACATTTAGATTTCGGGGAAGGGAGGGTTTGATTCTCCCAAATGTACAGGCCTAGGGTGAAGCAGACACTTTATTTAGAAATTAGGATTAAGGGTCTTGATATTGGGTTTTCTTCTGTTCTTATTCTGATCTGAAATTAGAAAAAATAACTCGCCCGATGGGCGAGAAGTATAGTATCTGTTATGTGCTGATTGTTTTTAGTTTACTATGAACAATATTATCATTTAAGTTCTTATTTTTTGAATATGCAACTATCATTTTCTGCTTATAGACATGGGGGAATTTCTCTTGACGGCTCTTATAGTGGGCATGAACTATCTTGCTTGCTCGATTGCTGGTTGTATTAAACGGGACAACAAAGGGTGCTATGCCTACTAGATGAATATGAATATTTAGTCTTGCTGTATTCAATGTCTCAATCCAATGGGCTTCCCTAGATTGACGGAATTTGGTAGTTTCATCTTCGGGCAAGTCAATTTCTATACGCTCAATTGGGATTAGGGCGAGATCGTCTATTGAATGGTCGTCGAGGTTGAAATGATCAGAAACAGGCTTGTCTTTCTTTAATTTGATGTCTGACCTATGAGCATTAAAGCGAGTTCGTAAATTATTCTTAGTTTCTCCTACATATTGTTTGGGGCATTTCTTGCATGAAATTAAATATATTACATTCGAATGTTCACATGTTAGATGTTCCTGGATCGCGTACCTTTTATTCGTAGAGTTGCTTACAAAATAATGAGTTTCTGATATAAAGGGACATGTTTTGCATTTACTGGACAAACATGGATCACTCATTAAAACTTGAGGTACTTCGGCATAAAGTCTGCTTTTAGCTGCTATCTGTGCTAATATCTCATCAAATGTCTATACTCATTTTCTGGCATCTCGTACAATTTTATGGCATCTTCAGTGTCTTGTTTGGGTATACCAAGATATGGACCAATATCATATTCAAATTTAACAGGCTGTCCCTTCTCTTTCAAAATATCTATATTAGCCTGTTCATCATCTCTCTCAGACTGTTGACCTGAAAGGACTTTTTTGTCCCAGGCATCATCCAAGTTATCTTTTTCAGCAATCATTGCTGCATCAACAGCAGATCTGTTATTTTCAAACAAAACCTGCTGAAATGCTATTCTGTCTCTCATTTCTTCAAACCTTTCAGCATAAGAAATATGATTTCCAATTAGGTCTACAAATTCATCTCTCCAGGGAGTATAGAGCATAAGCAACTCTCTATAATATTTCTCAGGATCTTTATCAATGTCAAAATTAAAATCTTATCACCCTAGGAACAGATCGTTTTAACGATTTGTTTGTTTCATCATCTTGATCAGAATCATCATGCTCTTCAGAATTTTCCATTAAAGTTTCAAGTTCAACATTTTTAGAACGTTTAACATAACGCTTCCTTTTATCACATCTGCACATCTTCATCATCATCTTCTAACTCCTCTAACTGTTCCTTAGTTTTAAGGAGTTTCACTCTATCATTAGGAGGAGACGTGTTTACAAATACATATGATTTTCTCATAGATAATTGTAGCATAATGTAAACAGCCTCCTGGGCACTAATTTCAACATTATTTAAAAATTTATTTCCAATCGCCTTTACTTGCTCACGGATTCCATAATTTCCTTTTCTTACTTCATCACAAGCTTTGCGTAAAATGTCGCTTATACCCCTTTGTGATTTTGCTATGTACGAAGCAATGTACATTGCACAAGCATAGACATCCAACACAAATTGAATGTCATGATGTGCTTGCCAGCAGTCCAATAGTTTGGTGTTGTAAGCATTCACCCTTAATTCAAAGGGGATTCTCTTCAAAAATACAGTAGGATGAGCAATTGATGACCTGATCGCTAGAATATAGTCATCATATTTCAAATCTACCCTTTCTTCAAACTCATCAAAAGTTATGTCTTCTCCTTCTATCATGTCATCCATGACCAGTTTCATTTTACTGTAAATTTCCTTACACTTTTGGGCATGTGGAAAATCACATTCAAGTGGTTCTAAAATTTTAGTTTCTTTCATAGGAGGTTTGGGAAAACCAAATCGACAAGTTTTTTGTTTCTTTCTTTTACAAGTGTGTGAATGCTTGTGAGTTTGATATTTCACAAACTCTGCCAAATTTTCATCGTCTATCATTTTACTGCATGTAATTGTAGAATCAACAAATTTACAAATTTCATCATTGCTACTTTCACCATAGACAGGAGCTTCCGCACACCACAGCAATGTATGGATATGTGGTGAGCCTCTGTGTTGGAACTCAACTCTTTAAAAAAAAATCTGTGACTTTTCCAATAGGTGAGTTTTCTTTCTTTAAAACATCTTTAAAAAGCAGTTTGACCTGCAAGTCAAATTGCCTAGTACAAGTTACAGGGTCAGAAAACACCAATCTACTTTTAGTTTCCCAATCCATGTTATCAATCTCATCATTAGTATACTCTTTGTTATCTTGCACTCTACCAAGAATTCGTAACAAATGTCTCCAACGAGGCTCAGCAGCTGAAAAACTACAAAAAAAGTTGCAGGCCGAGGCTGCCTAATCATAGCAAATAAATCGCTTTGAGCCTTTTTGAAATAAGGAGGTGAACCTCTTAGTGTTTTTAACACCATATAT